GATAAGGAGATAGAGACGAAAGAGAGAGAGAGAGAGAGCTATCTCACACCCGCGTCAGGTAGTCAATGTTAAGCTCTGTAGATAAAAGTTCTCACACTCAACACTCTCTCTCTCTCTCTCTCTCTCTCTCTCTCTCTCTCTCTCTCTCTCTCTGATATGTGAACACAACTAAGTGAACGCTGCTACATGAACACTAAGTGAACGCTACAGAGTGAACACAACGGAAAGTGAACGCTTATATAAGAACACTACAGTAGCCAGCCTGATGTATGTGTGGCGAGACATGACGTGTTGAAATCTGTAGTCTTGTGAAGGCGATTTAAAAAATAAATGAAGAATAAATCCGGGGATTTTTAGAGGATTTTGAGAGAGAGAGAGAGAGAGAGAGAGAGAGAGAGAGAGAGAGAGAGAGAGAGAGAGAGAACATGGCCGTAACTATACCATGGCAGGTCGACATAGCTAGAATTGTTGGAACCCATCAAAGTGTAAACACCACTAGACCATAAACACATCACCTTCACCAATCCCTTTTAAAAAATATTCTGTCAGTTTTATTTGGACGCAAAAACCCAAAGAAATACTAGTTTTAACTTTTTTTTTTTTTATTATTTCAAATAAATCATAAAACAAGGATAGGAAATTAAATGTTGATAATAAATAAAAAAAACACCAAATTCTTATATATAAAAAAACAGCATTAAACCGAATCTAATTTTTACGGGTTTAAATAAATATCAGTATTTTTATTTATTCTTAAAAAAAATCCCAGGATAAAAAACAAAAAACAAAACAAACCCCCCTTATAACCCCCCCTTTCCACCTCCCCCTCACACCCCCCTCTCTTTCCATCTCCCTCACACCCCTTTCATTCTCCCAATCCCCCATTCCGCTCATCCATTTGTCAACACAAAAGAGGGAGGGGGAGAGAGGAGGGAGGGAGGAGGGAGGGAGGAGGAGGAGAGAGAGGAGAGAGAGAGGGGAGAGAGGAGGAGAGAGGGAGAGGGAGGAGGAGGGAGGGAGAGAGGGAGAGATAAACAAGAACGGCTAAGTAGAAAAAGAAAAGATGATCCAATGCATGAAGTCACCTCCATCTCTGACTCCAAGACGAAGAGGAAGAAGGAGGAAGAGGAGAAGAGGAAGGAGGAAGAGGAGGAAGAGTAAGAGGTGGAGGAAGAGAGGAGGAAGAGGAAGGAGGAGGAAGGAGGAAGAGGAAGACGAGGAAGAGGAAGAAGGAGGAAGAGGGAAGGAAGGAGGAGGAAGAGGAAGAAGGAGGAAGAGAGAAAGAGGAAGAGAAGGGAAGAAGAGGAAGAGGGAAGGAGGAGGAAGGAGGGAAGAGGAAGATGAAAAGAGGAAGAAGGAGGAAGAGGAAGGAAAAGGAGGGAGGAAGAAGGAAGAGGAAGAGGAGGAAGGAGGTGAGGAAGAGGAGGAGGAAGGAAGAAGGAGGAAGAGGAAGGAAGGAGGAGGAAGAGGAAGAAGGAGAAAGAGGAAGGAGGAAGGGAGGAGGGAAGGAGGAAGGAGGAAGAGGAAGAAGAGGAAGAGGAAGAAAGAAGAAGAGAGAGCAGGAATAACAAGGCAGAATCAATAAGTACTAGAGTAAGAAGACGAGTTCTCTTGTGTCAAGCCAAGACGAAGATCACAGGAAAGCCCTCTTCCTTTTGTCAACACAGGAGGAAGAGGAAGAGGAGGAAGAGGAAGAGGGGAAGAAGAGAAGAGAGAAGAGGAAGAGGAAGAAGAGGAAGAAGAGTGAAGAGGAAGAGGAAGAAGGAGAAGAGGAGAAGAAGAGGAAGGAAGAGGAAGAGGAGTAAGAGGAAGAAGAGGAGGAAGAAGGAGGAGGAGGAGGAAGAAGAGGAAGAAGAGGAGTAAGAAGAGGAAGAAGAGGAGGAAGAAGAGGAAGGAGGAGGAAGAAGAGGAAGAGGAAGAAGAGGGAGAAGAGGAAGAAGAGGAAGAAGAGGAAGGAGGAGGAAGGAGAGGAGTAAGAAGAGGAAGAAGAGGAGTAAGACGAGGAAGAAGAGGAGTAAGAAGAGGAAGAAGAGGAGTAAGAAGAGGAAAAAGAGGAGAAAGAGGAAATAAACAAGAATCAATAGACACACACAGATGAGGAAGAGAGGAAGAACAAGAACAAAAAAGAGGAAGAAGAAGAATCCAATCCTCTTGATATTACCTCCACGACGACAGCATCACCAGAACCCCTATGATGTGAAGATGGGTGACTGGATACCCTCTTTCATCTCCTCGTGTCAGCCAAGTTTCTTCACCTCTATAACTTATACAACACTGAGTATCTCTGGTGTAGTGAGAGAGAGAGAGAGAGAGAGAGAGAGAGAGAGAGAGAGAAGAGAAGTATATGATACTCATTCTATAAGGAGGACAGAAAGAGAGAGGCCAGACAAAAAAGCAAGAGAGAGAGAGAGAGAGAGAGAGAGAGAGAGAGAGAGAGAGAGAGGAGAGAGAGGAGAGTCACCAAGCCCGACTCTATACCACAAAAGGTTATCCATAAAAGACTCTCCTCCTCCCTAAACCTTCCTTCACCTCCTTTCTTCCTCCTCCTCCTTCCCCAGACGACAGGAAGCTTGAGAGGCCTTTAATGGCGTCGGAATTACTCTAAGACTCTACCTAACCTAACCTAACCTAATCTAACCTAACCTAATCTAACCTAACCTAATCTAACCTAACCTAACCTAACCTAACCTAATCTAACCTAACCTAACCTAACCCTGACTTAAGTGAATTATTGCATAGGAATCTCTGAGAATAATTTGGTCCGGAATTTCACTAGTGGTGGTTGTGGTAGGTTGTGGTGGTGATTGTTGTTGTTGTTGTTATGGTGGTGGTGGATGGAAGTGGTGATGGTAGTGGTTGTGGTAGGTGGTGGTAGTTGTTGTAGGTTGTGATGGTGGTTGTTGTGGTGGTGGTGGATGGAAGTGGTGATGGTAGTGGTTGTGGTAGGTGGTGGTAGTTGTTGTAGGTTGTGATGGTGGTTGTTTTGGTAGTGGTGGATGGAAGTGGTGATGGTAGTGGTTGTGGTAGGTGGTGGTAGTTGTTGTAGGTTGTGATGGTGGTTGTTGTGGTGGTGGTGATGGTAGTGGTTGTGGTAGGTGGTGGTAGTTGTTGCAGGTTGTGATGTGCTGTGGTGGTGGTGATGGAAGGTGATTTTGGTATTGTGGTGGTGGTGGAGAAGTTGTTGTAGGTTGTGATGGTGGTTGTTGTGGTGGTGGTGGTGGTGATGAAGTATGATGGTAGTGGTTGCAGAGGGTAGTAGCTGTTGTAGGTCAGATGGTGGTTGTTGGTGGTAGTGGTGATTGGAAGCTAAGATGGTAGTGGTTGTGTAGTAGGTGGTAGTAGTTGTTGTAGGTCAGGATGTGGTTGTTTTGGTAGTGGTGATGGAAGTGGTGATGGTAGTGGTTGTGGTAGGTGGTGGTAGTTGTTGTAGGTTGTGATGGTGGTTGTTTTGGTAGTGGTGGATGGAAGTGGTGATGGTAGTGGTTGTGGTAGGTGGTGGTAGTTGTTGTAGGTTGTGATGGTGGTAGTGGTTGTTGCTTAGGTTGTGGTTGATAATGGAGGTTATTGTTGTTATTGGTGATTGTTATGGTGGTTGTTGGAGGAGGTGGTGGTGGTGGCGATGATGGTAGTGATTATGATAGTGGTTGTAATGGTGGTTGTAGCTCGTTATAGTTCTTGTAGTTGTAATAAATATTGACATACCTGAATTTGTCGTTGTTTTTGTTATTGTTTTTGTGTTTGTTGTTGTTTTGTTACGTTTACAATTAGAGAAAAAAAAATCAGCATACGAGTTTTTCAGAATTTTTTTTTGTGTCTTAACTTACGTGGGTCAGTTAGGTACGTCCTCACATCACCAGTTATAGAGGAAGGTGAGAGACAGGTGAGAGACAGGTGAGAGATAGGAGGCAGGTGAGAGACAGGTGAGAGATAGGAGGCAGGTAAGAGGCAGGTGAGACAGGTGTCACTTCTTCTAAGGGGTCTAACCATCGTATCTACTGATGACCACATAAATTTTCCCCCAAAACCGACAAATTTCCCCACCCAAACCGACAAATTATCCCCCAAACCGACATATTATCCCTCAAACCGACAAATTATCCCTCAAACCGACAAATTATCCTCAAACCGACAAATTATCCTCAAACCGACAATTTCCCCACCCAAACCGACAAATTATCCCCAAACCGACAAATTATCCCTCAAACCGACAAATTATCCCCCAAACCGACAAATTATCCCTCAAACCGACAAATTATCCCCCAAAACCGACAAATAATCCCCAAAACCGAAAAATTTTCCCCTAAATCCCACAAAATTTCCCCAAAAACCACAAATTCTCCCCCAAAACCACAAAATTCTCCGCAAATCCCCAACTTCTCAACCAAATCTCAAATTTCCCCCATCCCCAAACTCCCCCCAAAACATCATCCTCTCCAAAAAATTCCCTCCACGTATCTTCCCCCGCAACATGAGAATTTACCTCCATTTCACTATAAAACACTAAACAACGCCCTCACAGTAAACTAGGCAGTCTCGTCACCAATAACAATTAACTATTATGAAAGAGACTACGTAATGCCGCTAACGACTCGAGTGGAACAAACTATGCTGTTGGCTCGCAAAATATAACAATGGTATATTATTCTTGACGTAATTGCATGTAAATTCGCCCGGAGAGTAAGACCAATAATTTTCACGCCAGATAATTGGTGTGTGTGTGTGTGTGTGTGTGTGTGTGTGTGTGTGTGGTAGTACATTTGGTATTGTTATTATTTTTCGGTGAGGTGAGGGAGGTGAGGTGAGGTGTGAGGTAGGAGGTTAGGGCTACATACATATATATATATACATATATATATATTATTCTTAACACACACACACACACACACACACACACACACACACACGTGCACACACACACACACACACACACACACACACACACTCAATATCAGTGCTGGTCTTCTCACTTGTTCTAACACGTCTCAATTCATGTTCGCCAGGCTGGTTCCTTGTCTCGCCTGACGAACGGGTGCTCAGCTCACCTAGCGAAGGGTTCTACCTCTGCTGACGATCCCAACGCCCGCCCTGACGAACAGCTTCACGTCCACGAGAATAAACCCACAACAAAGAAACATAAAGGTAGTGTATTTGTTATGATTTTTACTTGTTGTCTTTGCCCTCTACTGTGATTTCCTTTAGAGGTTTGTGTGTGTATGTGTGTGTAGGTGTGTGTGTATGTGTGTTAACAAGAAATACAACAACACCCACCTGTTCATCACCAACCACCACCACCAACAACCAATTCCCTGCCAACAACCACCACTACCTTTACCAAACCACCACTACCACCCCCAACAAACCAACAAGTCTCAACAACCACCACTTCACCCCCAACAACTACCACCACTAATTCCCCAACCACCACCAATTCCCCCCTAACAACCTTCATGCTTCACTGCTGGAGTTAATACCCTATTCTATCACTAATGGGGACTGCATGGCCCTTGGACTTTGTTGTGGTGGGAAGACGTAAACACACACACACACACACACACACACACACACACACACACACACGCACACACACACACACACACACACACACTCCACATAACTCTCTCTCTCTCTCTCTAACAACAACCACATCAGTTATGAGTCACCCTCCAATATCCCGTTTTCTATGATAAATTAATCACAGAAAACGGAAGTCGTGGTGACCGTCCTGAAAATATTGTTAACGTGAGAAAATTTTAGCGAGAGACTGTCGTAAAATTTTAACACCAGAGTTTTTTTTTTACGGGTTTTAATAAGCGAGTTTATCAGAGGCAGTGAAAAAAGTTGGGCTAGGTTTAGGTTGGGTTGGGTTAAACCATCATCCTTAAAGGGTTAAACCATCATCCTTAATGGGTTAAACCATCATCCTTAAAGGGTTAAACCATCATCCTTAAAGGGTTAAACCATCATCCTTAAAGGGTTAAACCATCATCCTCAAAGGGTTAAACCATCATCCTCAAAGGGTTAAACCATCATCCTCAAAGGGTTAAACCATCATCCCCGAAGCGGTTAAACCATCATCCCACGGGTTAAACCATCATCCTTAAAGGGTTAAACCATCATCCTTAAAGGGTTAAACCATCATCCTCAAAGGGTTAATCCATCATCTCAAAGGGTTAAACCATCATCCTCAAAGGGTTAAACATCATCCCTCAAAGGGTTAAACCATCATCCCTCAAAGGGTTAAAACCATCATCCTTAAAGGGTTAAACCATCATTCCCTGCCGGTTAAACCATCATCCCTAAAGGGTTAAAACCATCATCCTGCCGTTAAACCATCATCCCAGCGCGTTAAAACCATCATCCCCATGGTTAAACCATCATCCTCAAAGGGTTAAACCATCATCCTCAAAGGTTAAACCATCATCCCCAAAAGGGTTAAAACCATCATCCCTCAAAGGGTTAAACCATCATCCTTAAAGGTTAAAAACCATCACCTCAAAGGGTTAAACCATCATCCTTAAAGGGCTGGGGTAAACCATCATCCTGTAAAGGGTTAAACCATCATCCTCAAAGGGTTAAACCATCATCCTTAAAGGGTTAAACCATCATCCTTAAAGGGTTAAACCATCATCCTTAAAGTGTTAAACCATCATCCTCAAAGGGTTAAACCATCATCCTTAAAGTGTTAAACCATCATCCTTAAAGGGTTAAACCATTATCCTTAAAGGGTTAAACCATCATCCTCAAAGGGTTAATTTTTATAAGTGAAGACGAAAATACTGTATAAATATTTCAATAAGGTTTTTGGTCCAAACTTCTTCATTAAAAAGTACAAAAGTTTATTAATTTAAGAAATCATTTGTTAAAAGTTTTTGTTAAAAGTTTTGGAGATGAAAAATATTATAAAACTTTGTAATTGTTTTTAGATGGGATAAATAATTTGATTAATATTGATATTTGTTTTGTTATTTAAATAAACACGTAACGATGTGGTAGGAAGGTAAACATGTCCAGGTAAACAATTAACATCATCCAGGTGTGTCCCAGCAACATCGTCCAGGTGTGTGTTTACATCTTAAAGACCTCGATATAAAGACCCCAAAATTGACTTAAATTAGTATACTAAGTTGTGTGAGTATACTTGGTGTGAGTATAATGCCTTGAAATGTATCTTAATTAGCATAATAGACCAGTTGGTATAATTTATGGCTTAAACATTATACTTGGAGTTAGAACAAGACGAGATTTTATGTCTGATAATTTGTTTTCGTTGTGATAATTAATTTTTTTATGATTATACCAATTATTAATTAATTAGATATATAATTAAGTTTTAATTATCTAAAGTTACAAATTAAGTAGATTATTTTTTTTTCTCTTTTTACAAACTTTCTAAGAACTTTTTCCCCAAGATTTTTTCATCAGATTTTTCAGACAACTTAAGGAATAATTATTCTCCTTTGTGATAATTAAGAATAATGCAATAATTTATAGGTTAGATTATGATGTCTTAACACTAAGTCAGGGTGATTATAGTGAGAGATAGTGGGATAAAGACAGACAGACAGACAGACAGACAGACAGGCAGGCAGGCACACAGACAGACAGACAGACAGACAGACAGACAGACAGGCAGGCAGGCAGACAGACAGGCAGACAGACAGACTGGCAGACAGGCAAATCATTAGGTGCTATAGATACAAAATCAGATAGATAGATAGATAGATAGATAGATAGATAGATAGATAGACAGATAAATTCTATATACATGCACAATTTCCTTCAAGTAGAAAAAAAATATAAATTGAAAAAAATAAAATAAAAAATAAAAAATACGATAGTTTTTGTTGAAATAAAAAAGTTAACACATTTAGTAAGTATTTAAATGTTAGATAAAGTTTGCTGGTAAAACATATGACCAGGGACTTGCAACAGCCATCGTGATATACCGGAAAAAATACTCAGATTTTTTTTTTCAATTTGTATCGCTATATATAAAACTTATATGTATAATAACAGTAAATATAATGAACGTGACTGAGTGAACCTAACCTAACCTAACCTAACTTAAGGATAATTAAACCTAGCCCAACTTTTTTCACTGCCTCTGATAAACTCACTAATTAAAACTCGTAAAAAACTCTGGTGTTAAAATTTTACGACAGTCTCTCGTTAAAATTTTCTCACGTTAACAATATTTTCAGGACGGTCACCACGCCTTCCGTTTTCTGTGATTAATTTATCATAGAAAACGGGATATTGAAGGGTGACTCATAACTGATGTGGTTGTTGTTAGAGAGAGAGAGAGAGAGAGAGAGAGAGAGAGAATAAGCTTATGTTTAATTTCAAATATTTATCAAAATGTTTTAGTGTGTGTGTGTGTGTGTAAACAGCTCTTAGGCTCTTATCCAAGTTCTTTGTATTGCTGCACGAACCTTGTATTCTGTCTGTCTGTCTGTCTGTCTGTCTTATACACACAGCTTGAGAAAGAGTTAGAGGCTAGTATTAAAGTTTTACCACAACACAATGATTGGCGCCTTGACTACCGCTGGCTGACACCCGACTGACACCAGAGGGCTGTCAGCTGCTGTCCCTGTCTTTATCTACACTACTTAACACAACCCCCTACCAACCACCCAACCACCCCCTCCCTCCCTCCCTCTCCCTCCCTCTCCCCACACTCCCTTCCCTCCGTCACCTATAATCTTTCCCGCCCTACCATCCCCCTCAGTCCCTCAATCCCACTCTATAAACCTACCCACACCCCACACCCACTCATACCCTCCTTCTTACCCTCTTATATCCCCACACCACACCACCCACACCACCCACCCCAGCCCACCCAAGTTCAGACACAAACTATAAAGAAGGTATTTTATATAACGTTACGACCATGTTATTGCCTAAAGCGTGCCTAGCCAGCCATAAGGACATACCACCAAGTAATCCCCCCCCTCTCTCTCCCCTCTCTATCATACACCCCACTCACCACACCTCACCTCACCCCTCTACTTCACCTGTTAATTGAAACACTGTATAGGACTGAGATTTTTTTTTACCTGTAGCAAAGAGATAAATTTGTGAAATAAATTGAAGCAAAATGTGTGTTTTTTTTAAGGGGGTGGTTTAGTTAATAGTGGATTGTTGTAGTTATTGTTATTATCGAGGAGAGTGAATCATCATTATAGGGATGGAGAGAGAGAGAGAGAGAGAGAGAGAGAGAGAGAGAGAGAGAGGAGGGGAGGAGTAAGTTAAACTTGGGTGGTAATGTCCGTAGACTTTTCTCTCCGCCCGTTACCTATTATTATTATTATTATTATTATTGTTAGTTATTGTTATTATTATTATTATTATTGTTATTGTTATTATTATTATCATTATTATTATTGTTATTATCATTATTATTATTGTTATTATTATTATTTTTATTAACGTGTATCAGTTTTAGTAGTAATTAGACCTATCAATTATTTTTCAGACGCTCGTCACCCTTCACATTTATTCACACACACACACACACACACACACACACACACACACACACACACACACACACACACACACACAGGCACACACAGGCACACGCACGCACTTCTGAAATACACACAAGAGGAAACAGAGTCCTAATTTGTTTTTCGAGCCGGGGAGAGGAGGGGAGAGAGGGAGAGGAGGGAGGGGAGAGGAGGGAGGGGAGGAGAGGAGGGAGGGGGAGAGGGGAGGGGAGAGGAGGGAGGGGGGGGGGGGAGGAGGGAGAGGAGAGGAGGGGAGGGAGAGGAGGGGAGGAGGAGGGAGAGAAGAGGAGAGGGTACTGGGTCTAAAACTTTTACAGGCAGTATTGAGTTTATTGAAAGTATAAAGTTTGTAAAGTAGCACTTTTGGGGAGGATGATGAGAGCAGTGGAGAGCGGTGTAAGCTGATAATGGTATATTGACCAGAGAGAGAGAGAGAGAGAGAGAGAGAGAGAGAGAGAGAGAGAGAGGTGTTTGTATTGATTAGACAGATGAAGGGATAGATTGATAGAGTCTAGAAAGAAAGAAAGAAAGAGAGAGAGATAGAAAAAGGGAGAGAGAGGGGGGGAGAGAGAGGGAGAGAGAGAGAGAGAGAGAGAGAGAGAGAGAGAGAGAGACTATATTAATTTGGTT